ATTAGCATAGAACTGGAATTAGAAGAGAAACAGGGTATTTTCAGCTGGAAGGGACCCACAGCGATCACGCAGCCCAACTGCCTGACCCCCCCCAGGGCTGACCAAAGCACGTGGTTAAGGGCATTGTCCAAATGCCGCTGAAATCCCGGCAGGCTCGGGGCATCGACCGCCTCTCCCGGAAGCCTGTGCCCGGGGCTGACCACCCTCTCTCTAAAGAAATGCTTCCTGATGTCCAGCCTGAGCACTATAAACAATGCTCATTCGGGGGAAAAAATACTTCCCATGCCAACCAAACTTTTCACGCGTGATAAAGGACGCTGAACAGAATATATCGCACCTACTTCAAGCAGCCTGTCCAACCTTGAAAGCAACATTCTCTCTTGATATTGCTGCATCATAAAGGGCCCCAATCCATCCTCATCCTCCAGTGGCACCTCACGGGGATGATGTACAGCTCAGCAACAATTCCTCTGAAGGCTCAGGATGCATTTATAGCACATTTTAATGTACATTTAGGAGCAGAGCGATTCTTAGCAGCTGAGCTAAATGCGAGCTGACAGAATGGTTGATCTCTCTGCCTGTGCCGGAGTGTAGCGCTCGCTGTCAGCGCAAAGCAGCTTCCAGACCCAGATGCCACGCAATGAAAACAAAAATATTAAAAAAATAGCTTTTGCAGTGGCAAACATCTGGCTCCTGCGTGCCTCACGTCTGTCCCAGAGCATCCCAAGGCACGTCTCCTCGCGCCTGCGTCCTTCTCAACAGCAGAACTCAACGTGGGGACCAAACCCAGAGGGGGAGGAGGAGGAACTTTGTAACATTTCACTCTGACAGCCTAAAAATGGTGAAAGCTTTGTTTCACGGACTGTCCAAGGGCTCACAGTTTGGTGACGACTTTAATTTGGAGACGGCTAAGCGTTTTCCAGCTGAGTGGCAGATCTACGTGCAGACGACGAGGAACGCTTGACAAGAGGCTCGTTTCCTTTAGGTCCCATCAGAAGAACCTCTCTGGCCACAGAGGGGCAAAGATGGGTCAATGTAAAACGTCCCCTAGGTGAGCGCCTACAAGAGCAGGCAGCCAGACTTCAAGTGCCTAAATCCTTTGGCTCAAATAATTCGGAGAAAGGACAGAGAAACAACATAAAAATATCAATGTGACTACAGAAAGCACAGCTAGCTCCGAAGTACCTACCTACCCTGAGGTACCCAGCAGCACTCATCACCTTAGGTGCTGTTCTCCGCCACAAAACGCTAAGATGTACGAACGTAATTAAAAACGGAGTTTGCTGACGAGCTGCTGACCACAGTCTGCCCTTGCCTGGGCCGATCCCAAAGTCAGGCTCAGCCTCACGCCACCAGCTGCGATTAAACCCCCAGCGGCCGCGCTGAGGCTTGATTAGCTGCTTTGCTGCTGAGTTTTGGTCCAAAACACCTCGCAGCCCTGAGCGGGTCAAAGCTGCCATGAATACGGAGCATCTCCAGAAGGCACAGATCTGTGTGCTTAAGTAGTGTGAAATTACGTGATTTGTTCGGGGTGGTACCCACTAGCCTGCCTCTTTCGACAGCGAAATACACTCTCCATAGCTGCAGAGATTTTGCTAGGAATAATTGACCAAGAGGCCAGAAGAAGGGGAGAGTTTTGCTCAGCGAATGTTAAACAATGCAATTATTCACGCTGGAAAGAGCTACGGGTAAGACTCAGCAAACTGTTGCAAAGGAGGAATTCAAGCCTATGATCCACAGCTCTCGCTAGCTTAAACCACCTTCTCCTCTGCTAAATTTCGTACAAAACCCCTGCATTTTATTATCATGAACTAATGATTAAGATTTATTTACAGGTATTTGTAAGATCTCATAAACAGCACCAATATTGATTTGCAGTACCATTCTACAAACATTATGGTGCATAAATTCCATGAAGGGGCTTTTTTAGGTAGAGATACAAACACACACACAAAAGAAATGACAAAAAATCCCAGATTCATTATGTGTCTTTTAACTTTCCCTAGGAGAACGTTACCGGTTAGGAAAAACCTTACCCCAGAAGCAATCCCTATTCATCTGGGTGGAACTACTTCCTGAGATTAGATCGCTACTAAAGATGATGCTTATTTCTTCACTTTCCTCTGTATTTGAAAATGGGAAGGAGAAATGGTTACATACAGCTTTAATTAGATAAATCTATAGCTATTTATGCACTTTAGATTGGCCAATTAGTAACTAGTATTTAAAAAATCACAGAAAGTAAAAACACACCAATATTTAAAGCAAGGAAGTAAAGAAGCAAACAAACACATAAATAGCCACCAACAGTTGCCTTCACGCTGCTTCTTGAAAAGGGCAGAAGAAACAAGCGCAACAGAAGGAAAAAAATCTCCTAAAAGACAAAAGGAGCAAATTTTCCACTTTTTCAGCTCAGGGCCCCCAGCTAAAGCAACAGCTGGGCTGTCGCAGAAATGGTATGCCAGCTCAAAAGAGTTCAGATCCACTGGATCCCCCCCCCATAAGACTATCTTTTGTTGTTGTTCCATTCCGTCAGCTAAAGCAACGTGCAGATCTCCTTGTTCTACAGAACGAACCTTAAAACGAGAGTTCTCTGTTAAAAGATAAAACTTTTGCTAATTAGTTTAGCTTAGAATTGCAGCTCTTGTGCTTTTTTTTGTTGGCTAAAACCCTGCTACAAAACATTTCCCCTTTTTGACCTCCTCTGCCGATCCAAATTTGGCAATTGCCACGTCGTCTCCACCAGAAGGAGAAGCTGTTGACGCAGATGTTCCTTGGACAAAACTCTATCCACGTATTAAGCACCGTACGTGACCTTTTCCTTAAGCAAAGCAGGGTGTTTTCAGAATATTTCAGAAACAAACCTCTTATTTCTTATTAGATCATCTACCACTAACTAAAAGTCCGCGCAAGCGCCCTGTGCACAGCTTCTGATACCAAACTGCCCCCATTCTCGTCTCAGCCGCTTCTGCGTTGCATTTTGCAGCGAAATCCCTTTCAGGCAGGGAACTGTAGTTCTGTCGGAGTCCTCACCAGTATCAATTCTGATCTGACCGGGGTCTCCAGTCACAGAACACCATCAATATTAAGCAATAATCATGATAATAGTAATTCATAGCAAGCATCTTCCATCTGCTTGGCCATCTCCGTTATGTTATTAAATTAATAGACCTGCCACCGCCAAAGAAAAATAGCATAGAGAGAAATCTTATTAAGCTAGAGATGAAATTTTAAACAATTCTGGGAACTGCCAAGGCCAGCCTTTGGGCTCTTCTGTGCGCCACTCAAATCCCGTTAGCAAGCCATGAGGGTTATTTAGTTATTTGTTTTGATTTAATCAGTTTGTGAATTGTAAATGTTTAATCAAATTAATTCTGACTGCTGCCAAGGCAGAAGAGAAGCAAGAACATGATAAAAAGCGGATGGCAGAGATACAATATTCTGGGTTACTGCAGCCTTTTAAAGAGCAGGGGACTGTATACAGCTTTTTACATCATCAGCAGTTGAGGTGTACCTCAGCCACCGGAGCTGCACTGCGGAAGAGCAGGCAAAGGTTTTTTGGAGCTTTGAAGCTGCTGCTTCTACTCGAAAAACCTTTTTTGTTCCTTAAGATTTAGCGAGCCTAGTTCATTTCTGTACTTGTTGTTCCAAATTACCTAATTCTATCGAGATTTGCTGGGATACGGCGGTATCTGTTCTTACCTACACCTGCGTCACCTGCAGGATACATCCCGAAGCGTCCCAACTGGTCCCACGTACCTTCTCCTCTCTGACCAAGAGCCCCGTTTCATACACGCACCCTTAAAACACCTTTTTACGCTGTTATTGTGTCACATGTGGTACCAGCTCGAGCGATTCGAAACTGATACTGTGCCTCACGAGATGCAGAAGATGCGTTTTGGAGGGGAGGTAAAAAGCAGGCTCCAGCATCCCGTCAAGCCTCCCAACATTTAGCACAAAAGCTTACAAAACGCGATCAATTGCTCGGTGACATTTTACCTTGAGAATAAGCACGAAAAAATAAACACAAAGGTTCGGAACAAGATGTGCCGAGACACCAATGCCCTTTGGGAGCTACGTGTAAGAGGAATTTAAAAGTAACTGGAGCTGGGTGCGTTAAAAATGAAAATAAATCAGAATATACATTTGGTGGTGTGAAAAACGTGCAGTAGAGAAGACGTATCAAACTGACTATTATATATTATATCGCAATATACTATATAGAGATTATATAAACAGCAGTTTATCCTCGTCAGCGAGCTTGGGGCTCCTGCTCCTCACTAGCTGTGCAAATGGAGATCTCCAAAGGCCACGTCCTGACAAGACACAACAAGCGGGGGGGGGGAGGTTTGTGCCTGCCTTGAACGCTCTAAAGCGTGAGTTTTTCCATGTCCAAAGGGGCCTGCCACCGAAATCAGCTACGGAACAAAAACTTCACTCAACAAGCAGCAAGCGTAATTAACACCTATGACGTACAGTATTATACTATGAGATATATCAACGCACTTCCTCAGCGATATGGACAACAGACTTTTTTAAGGAAGAAAGCACTGAATTTAAGAGCAAGAAATATATTTGTTAGGATAAGCAAGATGACAAAACACCGACCTGCACGTGGCACGTACAACCTATACCAAAGAAATGGCTCTTATGCCACCTCTTCCCCCGGAACAGCTCTGCTCCTCGTTATTCCCTGAGCTTGTTGCATTTCATCAAAGAGCAGTTTTGGTTTATTGGAACAGTTTCTGCTCGTGCACCTAAGTTTAAGTGCTACTACCGGTGCAGAAGCCTCTCTGGAAAAATCACCAATTCTCTCTAAAACACTTTTTTTGTGGGTTTCAATTCTTATATTAACATGATCTCCTGCACAAGCAAAAAGGAACCTTCTGCAAGGGGCAGATGGGGTTCCTTTGCATCTGAAAAAGCTACACGAAGCAGAAATATCTACACAAATATCCACGACCGGTAGTCAGGAGGCGCTGAGCACGTGGCAGACTTACCCTGGAGTTCACCACTTCCAAGGAGACATTCTGAGGCATCGCACTGGGCACTGAAAGGGAAGAAAAGAAGAAAGAAATGGGAAATACTGCCATTAGTGTCTATGAGTAAGTTACATCAAATATTTCTCTGGTTGGAAAGAAGAGCGCAGCTTTTACATCCAGTTTACAACCCGCTCACAGCCACGCAGCTAATCCAGGTGGAACTGCAGGGGTCCCCTAGAGGAGAGGAAAAACAAACACATCTGGTTTTCTTCCTGTTTTGAGCAGTCCTATTAGTGAGCCCTTTACACAAGCAGCGAGCAGGCTCCCGGCAGCGAGACCGACGACTGGAAGTCGGTGATTCGGTACACACTTGGCCAGAAACAAACAAGAACGTGCCACAACTTGGCTGGCTTTCACGTACTGAAGTGAATTTCGGAACTCCTACCCAGGCAGAGCTGGGCATTCCTCCCTCTGTGGCACCAGTGCGCCCCTTGCTAGGAGGCTGCCCAAAGGGCAAAGAGGAAAACCCCCTTGTCTGTAGATCATGCTTAAAGAGCTGCTGCACATCACGGCGCTGCGCGTCACCCGTGGGATATCCCAGATAACCCTGGGGCTGCACAGCCCCGCCTCGCCGCGGCCGCTCCGGGAAACACCCTGGGGTTTCCAAACAGGGCGAGGAGCTCGTCCACGCAGTGGCCGACAGAGGGGCCGCACGAGGCACTGATGGGAAACGGCGTTAAGCACCTGCGCGGGGAAAACTCGTGAAAACTTGTGTGGGGAAAGCTCATGTGGGGACAAAACTCGCGTGGGATAAAAACGCGCGCGGACAAAAACGTGCGTGGGCATAAAAACACGTGTGGGCATAAAAATGCACGTGGGCAAAAACACGTGTGGGCATAAAAACGTGTATGGACATGAAAAAGCACGTAGGCAAAAACACGTGTGGGCATAAAAAACGCGCGTGGACATAAAAAGGTGTGTGGGCTAAAAACGCGCGTGGACATAAAAAAACACGTGGGCAAAAACACGTGTGGGCATAAAAACGCATGTGGGCATAAAAATTCACATGGGCTAAAAATGTGCATGGGCAAAAACTCGCCTGGTCGAAAAACACACGTGGATAAAACCACGGGCGGGCTGAAAACACGTGCGGGGACAAAAACCACCCGTGGGCTGAAAACACGCGGGGGGGAAAAACTCTTGCTGGGGGGGTCGGGGAAGCTCGTGTGGAGGTGCGGACTGTTGGATGGGGGCATGCACATCTGCAGAACCGATGCCCATCCTGACAGCCGCGGGGTCACGTCACCCGCGGCTCGCAGGACGTGCTGCGCCCCTTTCCCTGCACGGGGCTGTTTCGTCTCTTATCAGCGCCTGCCACGCACTCTAGATGCAGAGATGGTGCGGTCAGAGGCGACTCCTCGCTGCAGAGAGGAGAGATCTGCCTCCTCCAGAGCGCTGAGCTTGAGCCACTCCGCGCTAATGGGCTCCACCTGCCACAGCTGGGAGCTTGTATGGACAATACAGACCATACACGGGACCAACACACAGAGACAACAGCCCCCGTTCTGCCCACCTCTAGAGCAGAATTCCAGCAATTCATTCTCATGGAAGTTTTGGCCAGAATAAGTGATTTGCAGAAATACTTCTGTATATGTTTTGCTCGGTGAGGTACGCCCCACGCTCCTGGACAGCCATTTTCAGTGAAGACTGAAGGAGAAAAGGAAGGTAAGCCTGGCTTGTGGATGGATTCCAGCTCTTAGCTCTTTACCTATTAAATTAGTCTCTACAGTCAGAAGTCCTTTCCCCATTCAGATAACAATAAATAATAACCCAAGCACTCCTTAAACGCTGCACTTGTTTAAATAAAGTTAATTTATTTGACCTCCAAGCTGTTTCAGGTCTCAGATCATCCTTGTAGATCTTTGCTGAACCAATTCAGCAAAGTGGACGACTGCAACGAGAATGATTCTGCCCCAGTGTCATTAAGCTCATCTGAAAATGAGTTCAACAACTTTTTTGACTTGATATATTCCTACTTAGACACCGAAAAATCATTTCCTGTCATTTTCCCTGATACATCTTACTGCAAACTATTCTTAAATTTGGTATGCGCCGTGATCCCTTTTTCAGCTCATTCTTTCCAAATTCAGGGCCACCTTCCTGGAAGCATAAACTACACCCCTGTTTTTCAACTGCTCAGGAGCCCAGGCTCACATTTCTCTGAAAGGAAAACAGCATCAGGCAGTCGATGCTTCACCAACTACAAACTTATTTTTAGAGATTTTGGCTCCTCAACGGCTGAATTAGTATTTGCCATCAGGTGGAGGAACATACATTTGAACCTTAATACGGAGACGTCACTGCTCACCCTCCCCTCGTTTTGAAAAATATCAGACAGAAAATTGTCTCTGGGATGCACTTGGTATTGCGAGGAATACGAAAAGTGAGATATTTTGGGACATTTCTGAATGAGCCAGATCTGGCAAACGCTGCTATCTCCCAGTAAAACTTGTTCTCGCTGGAGAGTATTTGCCCTCGTTTGCGAGCACATAAGGTTCCTCAAAGCTGAGGTTCCTCAAGGGTGACTCCTCTTTTCTCTCCCCTCTCTCATGGGCAGCAAAGGCTCATTGCAACCTTCAGCCACTGCCACCTCAAACCTTTCCTCCTCATTACTCACTTTCAATTTTCATTGCTATTACATATTATTCCCCTACCAGACAAACGACTCAACATCGTTTACTTTTACATATACTACTTGTTTGTCTTTCTATTATTTTGATTATTTCTCTTTGGTGAACGCTTGTCATATTTCCCCGTTTTCTGGCGTGCGTGAACGTCACCAACTCCTCCTCTTTTCTTCCAGGCCTTCAACCAAAACAAATCCAGACCTGACCCAGCATCGAACCCAAGCACTCCCACAGCAACACCGCGTGTCTTCACTCCTCGGTCTCCATTCAGTCAAGGAGACGTTTGCAGGAACAAACCAGAGACCCCGATTTCATGACTCGGGTTGCTTAACAACGAGCCAGCTCCCCTGGCAAACCCAGCGCCTGTGAGATTACAATTACTTCCTCCCGTTATTATATCTTGATCAAATAAAGAAATTGGATGCACCTGGTAAAATTTGGGGTTTTTTCTGTTTATTATTCACAGCTTAATTATACCATTAGAACTCATTCTGCCTAGCGTTAAGCAATGAACAGAACAGATGCATCCAGGGGTAACTCAGCCCCTTTGTCTCAGCACAGAGTGACTCAGTGGTGAAAGAAGCCTCGAATATACTGGAGGGGCCGTGCTGCCTGCCTTGGACGAGCTGTCTAACAGTCGGTGGGGTGAGCCTCGCTGCTGGAGACCTACTGATGGGAAGAAGGTTCATACAGCAAGGTACTCGCATTTGTTGTTGGGTTGGTTCTTTCTCCTTTTCATAGAATCACAGACTGGTTTGGGCTGGAAGGGACCCCAAAGACCATCCAGTTCCAACCTCCCTGCCATGGGCAGGGACACCTCCCACCAGACCAGGTCGATCCCACCCCCATCCAGCCCCACGGAGGAGGCAGCCACAGCTTCTCTGGGCAACCTGTGCCAGTGTCTCACCACCCTCACAGTGAAGAACTTCTTCCTAACAGCTAATCTAAATCTCCCCTCTTCCAGTTTGAAACCGTTACCCCTCGTCCTACTACTACCCTTCCTGGTAAAAAGTCCCTCCCCACCTTTCCTGTAGGCCCCCTTTAAGTACTGGAAGGCCGCTGTAAGGCCTCCCTGGAGCCTTCTCTTGCCCAGGATGAACAACCCCAACTGTCTCAGCCCGTCCTCATAGGGGAGGTGCTCCAGCCCCCTCGTCGTCTTCATGGCCCTCCTCTGGATCCGCTCAAGCAGGTCCATGTCTGTCTTGTGTTTGGGATCCCAGAGCTGCACACAGCACTGCAGATAGGCTCTGGTCTCACCAGAGCAGAGGGGGAGAATCCCCTCCCTTGATCTGCTGGCCACGCTTCTCCTGACGCAGCCCAGGATGCAGTTGCTGCCTGGCTGCGAGCGCATATTGCCGGCTCATGTCCAGCTCTTCATCCACCAACACCCCCCAGGTCCTTCTCCGTAGGGCTGCTCTCATTTTCTACCCGGTGAAATTCAAATTTCCAGTTGCCCAGCAGATGAACCCACATCCCTTGTGGTTTCGTGAGTTGTCATTCTTTAGTTGTAGAGCAGAACGGTCCAGAACGAACGAGACGGCTGAGCAGATACAGATGGGTTTGATAATTTGGGGGAAATTCACTATACCAAGAGGCTGGGCTACTGAGGTGGTACAATAAGGGACTCAGCCCCCAGCAGGGTCACAGCCATGACACCGTTCGCTGCCGGTAAATCCACTGCTCACACCCTCGCAGACCATTCCTCCTCGCCCTGCTCTCATCTCTCACGTACACAAAGCAATGGCTACTGACATCTGAAAAACTTCATAGGCTGTCTCCTGTGTCAATCTGAATGTCAATCTTCAATTTTTACTGTTTTTTTTTTTTTAAAAAAAAGCAATCACATTATAATTATGGATATAAATTATATTTAAATCAAGTCGTCAGGAAGCATGAAATAATACTGTCTGCCAATTGCTGGGATTAAATGCATTTTGATAAATTCACGAGCATGATAGCTCAAAGCATTTCTGAAATGGCACGCAGCTGGGCCAAATACTATCTGAGCTGTATTTTAAACTGAAAATTAAGCATTAAAGATACACCGTGCTCCTTGATCTGGTGAATGCTGTCTGCGGTCTGTAGCTCCTGCCGCTGGAGGTGCCACACTTAATCCCTTCGCTCGGGGTGCATTTCTTACACTACAGATTACATCTCAGAGCTTCATGGAAAATTTCTGCCCACAGAAGTGCGGGAACTAACAGTACAGGGTTTTTTTGTGTGTGTGTCCAACTACATACCCTATACAGCAAGGACTGGAGTGGAAAAAATAACCTGCTCAAGCACACTCTCAAGAGGCAGGAAGACTTAAAAATTACCCCATCGTTTTTATGAGAGGAAGGGAAAGGCAGACCAGTCTTCAGGACTTTTCTCCCATTTTTGACATTTCCTTCTGTTTCAAACCAGTTTTCAGAAAAGCAGCATGGGACTCGCTGCCCTTTGAAAGCGTCCCAGCTCCTCGCCTGGGGACTACCCTCCGGGTTTGGCTGCCAACGTGAAAATAAACTCCCGGAGACTACATGGTCTGAGACATGAAGACAGCACAAAGGAAAGACCAAAGGCAGCCGGTCGTGACAAGCAAGGTGCTCCTCACTACGGCAAAAGAACCGCGCAGGCGCAGGGAAAGGTGGCCGGCCCCTGTCCCTCTGACAGCGGTGATCCCTGCCTGATGAGGCTTTTCAGTCTAAACTCAAGCTGGAGGATGGCTCGTGATCCAAAAAGCACAGCGGGGCAGCCTGGGGAGCCGCTCTCCTCCACTGGGAAGGTGGTGGCAGGGGACGTAGGAACAAAACCTGCCTGAAAACCAATGGGCAGCTACAGGCTTTCTCCTTCCTTTCTCTGTCACCTATGAAACAGGACAGATTAAATGCCTTTGTCCTTCCTCTACGTAGGCTGTTGGCTCTCCCATGCAGGAGCTATTTCTTGCTGCATTATTGTGCATCCTTCCAGCAGAAGGGACCTAAACTCTGGGAAGGGTGTCTGCGTGGTACCATACAAGAAGAAACAGCAGAAAGTTGTGGTGCTGCAGACCCGCTCTCTCCATTCCCTCCTTTCCTTCCTGGGACAGCTAGGGCCACCACCATCCTCACCGGGCCTCGGCCGAAGCCAGGCTCTCACTGCTTTGGCTCCTCTTCTTCATGCGAGAGACCAAAGCCAGACAGACCCAGAATAAGGAGGACGAAAAAGACATCCTAAAGGGATTTTCTCTTCTTTTACACCTGCACCAGAAAAATAGAGGAAGTGTGGGAAGCCTTTTGACTTCTTCACAGAACAGACTTCTGCTTAAATACGGAGAAAAACAGATACTGCCTTTTTCCAGATTCCTGTAACAAGGGCACCTATGCACACTCCTGCTTTCTGGAACAGTCTCATGCAAACCTTCTCGTTAGCAATGATTTCTGTTCACAGACAGGTGAAGTGTTTGAAACACTTGCAGAGGATAATTTTCAGACTCATGAATAACAATCTTTCCCTTTCTCACTTCTGGTGACATTTAAAACCAAAGTGGAGTACAGGGCCACGGTTCTACACTTCACAGTGTGAATTAAATCTACATACATTATGCAAAATATTCATTTTCACTTGTTTTCCTTTTGTTTTTATAATTATAAGTGTGAAGTAATTTATTCTGCCAAGAACCAGCCTGTATTACAAGGGAAAACTGAATTTTCTGGGTAGACATAAGTAGCACTTGAAAAATATATTGCAGAGGTGTCAAAGGTACAATAACAGTGCCAACCGAGCCAGGGGTCTCACGGATGAATCCCACTGAAGATACAGCCCAGAATAACACAGATTAAAAAAGCGCTGGGGTTCAGTTTTTCTCGCGCGGGGTTCCCCACACCCCCAGCCCCCTCCACGTCGCTCTTCACGCCGTCTGTTTTGGAGGCTCCAACAGCTTTCCTCCAGTGCCCGTCATTGAGGTGCCTATTTCTTTCCAAAATAAACTCAAGGCAGACTGGCTCAGCCTTTTTAAAACGAAAGCACCGCTCCTCCTGACCCGCCCCAGCCTCACCGCCCCGCTGGAGACCCTCCTTTCAGACCATGCTTCCTCCATCGCTGCTCCTCCAGAGGTCAAGGAGACCTGGGGGGACCTCCAGACCACGGGGTAATTCAGGGTGGCAGCAAGCCCACCGGGAGTGGGAGAATCACAGAATCATTAGGTTGGAAAAGACCTCAAAGATCATCAAGTCCAACCACCAACCCAACCCCACATCATGGACTCCAACCATTAACTTAGCGCTGCCAAGTCCACCAACCATGTCCCTAAGCACCATGTCTACATGTTTTTTAAATATCTCCAGGGATGATGGCTCAACAGCTTCCCTGGGCAGCCTGTTCCAATGCTTGAAAACTCTTTCAGTGAAGAAATTCTTCCTAATAGCCAATCTAAACCTCCCCTGGCGCAACTTGAGGCCGTTCCCTCTCGTCCTATCGCTTGTTCCTTGGGAGAACAGACCCACACCCACCTCACCACAGCCTCCTCTCAGGCAGCTGCAGAGAGCGATCAGGTCTCCCCTCAGCCTCCTCTTCTCCAGGCTGAACACTCCCAGTTCCCTCAGCCCTTCCTCACCAGACCTGTTCTCCAATGTGAAACGTGACGTGAGACAGCAGCATCGCTTCCACGGGGGACGTCACCAACCCACACGTGATCCAGGGACACCTGCAGGAGGGCTCTATGCTGTAGGCAGGCCAAACAAATACAAGAGCTTCCCCAGTGCCTGAGACCCTCCTTCTGCTGATTTTCTCCAGGATCTATACTAACGCTGCCCAGAAATTCACATTTTCAGTCGATCACATGTAGCACACAACAGAAGCAACTGGGTTACCAGACTGAAAATGTCCATTCTTAACTTCACACACATTTTCATCTGTTTTGGGTAGAATACCAAGGGAGAGTAATCAACTTTGTAATAAAATTAGATAAATATTTGTAAATATAAAGGGATAAATCGCAATCACCCTGGGTCTCCACTCTATTTTTTTTTCTCTCACATCAATCTACAGCATGGAAAGGAACAAAAGTGAAATTTTTATGCAACTTAGGTGCATGCCAGGCACTGTTTCTGAATGTGCTCATTAGCAGAGATTATCTGCTACACTTCTGAGGGGGTACAAGCCCAGCAAGTTGAACATAGCTAGCTGAAGCCCACAGCAACATATTTCTTGCCTGCTCCCTGATTTTCTACTCTCATTTATAAGCAAACGTCTTTTTCCCATGAAAATGACCTTAAATTAGTGATCCAAAACCAGGCCGGGGCCACCCGAACTTGCTTTATCAGCAAGTTATGCAAAGGAAAAGAGCTCAGTAAGTTATGAAAATGAAGTTGTCCGAATTTTTATCAAAAGGAAAATTAACTCTTTATAAATCTCACTTTAAAAGCTTACTTGACACCTCCCATGTCATCTTTAAACAAAATGCTGGCACGGAAAAAGCCCCTCCGGCACGTCCCTGAAGCCTGTCTCTGGTCTGGCTTCTGCTTTACAAACTCTCACCAACCCTGCTGAAAGAAGTTTTCTTTCATTTTTATGGTTTTTACACTTTTGTAGCCCCGATGACTCCAATGAAGTTATTCCTGCTCTAGCCAGGTGTGAGGATCAGGCTCAGCGACTTCAAGAGGAGTCAGGCGTGTGTTCAGTTTCGTCGTATCAGACACAACGAAGCGCTTATGAATGCGAAATAAAACTCAATTTATCTCCCGGAGCCTGCGAGGCACAGGAGCACGGCACGAGCTGGGGGAAGGACGCTGGTGCAGCCGCCGTGACGAGCGGCGATTGAAGCCCTGGCCCATTTGCTACCCCCCGTGTTTAAAGCCCAAACCCAGGCAGCTGGCTCTTCCAATGCAGCTGTAACAAAACAGTGTCTGTTGAAAAGCTGAAAAGATGCTTAAGTTAAAGATAAAATAAAGAGAGGAGTATCCTTATCGCTAGGCATAGGAATAATGAACTGAAACAATTATCCTCGGAGACGAACGCCAGCTCAGAGGGTGCCGCTGCAGGCAGGTGCTGAACCTCTGATTTCTGCCCCGCACATCCAACCACCTCCTCGCTCCGTTGCTGCCTCTTCCAAAATACGGCGGCAGAAGGAAAAAAAAAAGAAGTTTAAAAATCTGACGATTGCAACCGTCAGACGCAACGTGCCCCCCGGCTCCGCCCCCACTCACCATCCGACAGCGTGGTGACCGTCACGTCCTCCGTGGAGACGCCGGGGCCGTAGCGGTTGTAGGCGAGGAAGCGCAGGGTGTACTCGGTGAACTTCTTCAGCCCCTCCAGGCGGTACGAGAGCCCGTCCACCTCCACGTTCTAGCACACAGGGACGACAAACCGAGGGGGAACGTGACCGCCAGCGCCACGGCCGTGCCGAGGGATGAGCGGATTAGAGGCGAGCTTTTCACTCTTTGAGAGCTAAATCCTTATTTAAGTTGATATAAAAGGCAATTTGTAACAGAGCGGCTTGCTACAGCGCGGTTCTTGGTCTGCAGCCCTGCCCACGGCATCGGGACAGAAGGGATTTTAGCACCTCAGGGTTGTGGGGTTGGGTTTTTTTTCAGGAGAAAAGGGGTTTTTTTTTCAGTTAAGCTGCCACTCCACAGGTAGGTGACAGGGAAGGCAGAAAATAAAGACAGAGAGTCAGAGGGGAATTTTGGAGACAAGAAAGAAGTAAAATAAAGGAAGCACGGAAAGAAAGGGGACAGTATAAAAGTTCCTCTAAGACTACCGAAGCACCAGCCCCAAGACTGCTGATGCCTGTGACTATCACATGCTATCAGGTCAGAAAAAAAGACCTCTCCACTTTCTTCCCTGCCCTATTCTTTGCCAAAAACGCATTCGGGCCCCGCTCTACCCACAGAGCTCATCTTCACCGCTACTGCCACGCTCCGATCCGATATTGGTTATTAGATGGCCGGTGGGAATCGAGCCGTTTGCAACCTGAAGAAAGCAAGGCTGCTTGTTTGCTGCTCGAAAGCACATGCTCAGGGCCGAGTCAGGAGCACAAGTAAGTGCACAGCATCAACACCAATTTTTCCTATAAGCACCTGTCAGTCTGGAGAAAAAAAAACGCATCGTTTCTAGCCCGGATTCGTATTATTTTACCTTCCTACTCGAAAGAAGCTCAGGAAGCAACTAAAAATATATATTCTTACGCACGTGTACAAACCGCCATTAATGTGTTGATGGTTTTGCACGACGTCAAGGCGCAATCTAAGGGGTCTTTCAATGCTCTTTGGCATCACTCTGAAATTTCGGCTGAGGAATGGCCGCTATATAACAGCCTGCGGCCTATCACCTCCCGAATCCATTTTATACTCGTGGAAATTTATTTCGCTTGATTTTCTCTTTTATCACTGGTCTGTGTAACAGTTACCTAAGCTGGAGGATTAATCCATAAAACCTCTCACTCCCTGCAGCGCTCTAAAGACCTGCAGATGCCTACACCAAGTGCCTCCCTTTCACGGGGAGAGCAGAGCTGCTCCAGCCATCGCTCACCTGCTCTCTTCCCGTCGCCGTCTCCGTACAGAACAGCCTGTAGCCTTGAACGGGGCCGTTGGCATAGGCAGGAGGATCCCAGGAGACGAGAATCGAGGTAGGTGAGGTAGACACAGCCCGCAGGTTTTCCACCGGTCCAGGAACTTGCACTGCAGGGAAAGGAAAGGAAAGGACAGTGTGAAAATCCCCTTCCCGCATTGCCCACCGCGGTGCCCGGACCCACGACACACGGCACGGCCCAGCACCCATCTCCGAGGGATGCCTGCTTCAGCACCGCACACCTCAGAAACTCCAGATGAAACTCAAAAGGGATGATAAACCCACGGAAAAAATACCCTGCGGAAAGACCGTTGCGGATTTAGCACCGTGAATACACGGAACGCAGAAAAGGGATGTTCCACCCTGGCTACACCCCTGTGCCTTTGGCTCAGAGGATGGACTTCATCTCAAAATGGAATTTCTGGGAAATAAACAGCCCAAATATCTAACGCACGCAACAGAGGCATCTACCGTGAGGCAGTAAGAAATCGGGAGCCACGCAAACCTGATCAACCAAAATCAGTTCGAGCAAAGGGCGGCCGTGAGAGGAGCCATCAGAAAAACCCGCGGGCAAACACCGACGCAACCGAAGTCATCTCACAAACACACTAGCTGCGGCCGCAAAGCTGCTTTCCAGCGGGGCACCGCTCAGTTGTGTGTGTTTCTGCCCCAGCTCTGTGCGTACCAGCTTGATGCTGTTAAATTATAAATCGATTTGGTGCACTGCAGCAGGCTTTGGTTTCTTTTGGCGAGAAATTAGCCCTCAGGATCCCCCTTGTTACCTTCTGCTTACAGCGCTTCCACGTACTGTGCTCGTGTACCTGTTTATGCCGTCTGTTTAAACCCCTTTATGCGTTACTCACTCTATTTTAGCTGCCTGAGGGATCACAGACAATGGCCGAGATGAAGCACCAAGGCCAGCCCTCAGCACGCTCTAACGAACGAGGGAGCCCACCCCTAGGCTGGTGTCCCCCCGCTTGGCAGCGGCACGAGCCTGCTCCTGCAAAGCCACAGGGCAGCACGGCGATGGATTCGGTCACACAGCTCTTCTCGTAACGCCCTGGGTGACTGGGCGGGTGAGCAGGGGCTGGACCAGAGACCTCCCATCATCTGCAAACCCTGATTTGCCCTTAAAAGTTTGGCCTCACTAGTGTAAGCTCCAGTAGTAACACGTAGCCCCAGTTCTGCTCTTGAATACTATTCCTGTGTTTGCACAAGGCCCAGCACTTACAGAAATTGCAGGGCTGTAACAAGCTCATCTTACCAACCAAATAATGACAATAAAAGTGTTAAAATATCTGATCTTTGAAACTATTATCCGTTTTAATTAGTTCCAAAAACACAGAGGTTTGCAATAGGTTTAGCCTTAAGTAGAGATCATTTGAAACGCAAAACTGAGATTGCCTTGACACCAAATCATGCTGGCGGGTGAAAAAGCACATAACTCCTCAAATGACAACACAAAACAATCCCTTGTAACTGTTCAGGAAGCCATAGCAGGTCACCTTTTGTTATACAGACTGTATCTTAAAGGGCTCCAATTTCACCCTGAACGCAAATTACCACACAGCAACTACAGCACGCTTTTGGATGTCATCTTAAATCAGTTATTCAAACAAAAGAGCTAAAAAAAAAAGCTTAATAAACTCCTCTAACTACCAGCAGTACCAGAAAATCACTCCCTGCACGTTGCTGGTGGACCTAACCCCAGCGACAAGCGACGTTTGGAGGTGAGGCTGCCTATAGCTTATCTGTGCCTTCATCCCGAACTCAAGCAAAACTGGAAGGAAAAAAAAGCCCAAAACCCAAACGGTAATGGTGGCAAAAACATAAAGGTCAAAAGCAGGAGGTTATTTCTGAAAATCTTCAGCCCCAAATAGCACCTTCTCACTTTCACACAGGGAGCGTGCCGTGGCATAAAACAAACTCACACGCTATTGTGCAGCCAGCAGACCCCAGAACTACAGCTCCCAGAGCAGGCTCTCTGCGACGTTAACACCCGCCCCATTTCAAGGCGGTTTCACACCGACAGCTCTTTTTTTTTGGTAAATCTGGAAGTGCGACAGCCGAGGAGCGCCTGACCCTGCGCTCCTGGATCCGTCCCTCTCCCGCAGCACTGCGATGGCAGAGCCGGGCACTGGCGAAAGGCACCGACAAAACACAGAGAGCCTTTGATCACAAGTAATTCTGGGTTTAGATGCAGCGTAGATACATTTAATATATTTTTATTTCCTTCGCCCAGCTTTCCTCTTCGTTCGATTTCAATATTTCTGACAGGCACTCTAATGTGCTTAAGGTCTCAGTATTTTCAGCACACACAAAGCATTTAATAATCTCTCCTGATCCCTTCTGTCAAATAATAATCTCGTGAAAATTGGCATTAAGTTTTCAATCTTTTCCTAAAGTCTTCTTTTTCTAAACAGCAGAGATGCCCTAGAACTGCTTTACATTCCATTAAAACAAGACATTAAATCATGTTTTCTCTAAAGTCTGCCTTTTACAACGAACAGCATCTTTTCTCGAAGAAAAAAGGGATAAAGGAAAGAGGGCAGGCGGATGACGGATGTGTGTTCTTTTACCACGGGCTCCACGCAATGCTTCGATATATTCAAAAGATCACCGTTCCTCTGAGAACGCCCCTCTGGTCCCACAAAAGACTGGCTCAGCACCTCAGACTGTTTCATAAATACAAGCCACAAAACCCACTGCTCTCGGAACTGCCAGATTTGGGGTTATTTGGTGGAATCACTCCTACTCAGCAGCAGTAACGGCAATCGGGTCCAAAGCCAGAAATGGTCAAATGTTTGGTTTTTTTTTTTCTTTTTGCCAATGCCAAATACACAATATATTATGGCAGAAATAAGCACCTGCGCTCCTAACACATTCCTTGCAGGGCAGTACTGTTGTGTTTCTAATCTGAGCTGGCCCCAGCAAAGAGGGCTGTCCTCTATATAAACCGTCTGTCTTGCCTTCAATCTTCCAGCAGTTCCCAAATCTTACAGCCCATGGGCTATTTCTGGAGCTCACCTCCTGCCAGCAGTCCGTACAAACCCAAAGAGGTCAGGGGCACTTGGCAATAGCTGAAGGGCCTCTGGAGAACAGCCATAACTCGCTCCCTCCCTCCGTCGCACAGAGCAGCGCTGCACATCCACGTCCTGTCCCGGCTGCTGATGCACCACGCACACGGGGCAAGCTGGGAGCCTCCGGCAGGAGGAACGACACGCAGATTGACAGAATCACAGAAAACCAGGTTGGGAGGGACCCTCAGGGATCATCTGGTCCAACCTTTCACACCTCCAGAGTACAAGTTGAGTCAATGCAGCTTGACTTTGGCATCAACAGACCCAGAGAAGCTCAGGAGGGCTTCACAGCTTGAAGTGGGCAACGGCTGCTGGGAAGATCCCCGGCCCCTTGTAGGCCATGAGGGCTGTAAGACCTCCAGTAACCCCACAAGTCTGATTTGTTGTAGGAGCAGAAAGGGCTGGCATCTCTGTATGACAGTGAAAGCATCTCCTCATTGAGAGACTCTGGTATTGACCCCGCTCATTTTCAGTCGCATAAACCCAGATGTAGTCAACTGCTCCTCAAAACCTGCAGGAAGGCAGTTTCCCATGAACCTTCACTGTTCTTCCACAGAGACTTTCTCTTCGCTATTGTTCAGTTGAACTGCTGATAATAATAGTTAATAAGATACAAGGAAGATACAAGTCCCTAAAATAGGGATGTAGGCAACTACGTCAAGAATTGCTTGGCAACTGCCTAAACACGCTAAGTATCTCTCTCAAACCTGACATTTTTATAAGCTCGTGAAGCTCTGCCTTCTGCACCCCAGGCCACCCTGCCTGCGCCAGTGGGCACCTGGCTCATACCAAAGCCCGGCTGGCGACCAGGGAGAGGAGCACCTGAACATCATGAGTGCAGCTTCGGCACGCGAAGAGCTCAGTTACCCCAAGACCATTGCCTTAAGCTCTATCACAAGACGCTGACCTTCCTTCAGAGCTTTTGATGGGCTCCAGCCTTGAGCTCTGATGCGTATCGATGCAGAATTACACACGGCAGCCTTTGGACATGAAAGCAGAGTCCTAAACACCACCTTGAAGTCGAATACGAGGTGAAAGGATCATGGCCCTACTTCTTTTCTCTCTCCTTGTGGTCCCAGGGGTCTTGACTTTTGCTGCCTATAGTCCAAACCGACCTGCCTCTAATGGCCATGATGCTCCTGCACCGAGCATGCTATCCAAGTCATTCATGCTCTAAATCCTTTCAGGTAGAAGAGAACACTAAATCTTTGCATTAAACCTTCCCAGGAGAGTGCACGTACCACTGAGCACACACCACCTCCATGCTTTTACAAGGAAAACAAAACTACTTATCCCAACTCAATTTTTTTAAAGGAATATGCCTGTTAATTCTCAGTTAGGCTTCCTTGATCTCCAGCTCTGTGTCAGGCTAGCCGTCTCCACCACAAAAGCTGCTTTTTTTAAAACATTTTTTCCTAGTGATTCATTCTTCTCTATGATGAGATGCAATGATTAAAATGTTCTTGTTATTACATTTCACTTTTCATTTAAGCAGCTGGTTCTTGTGCTGATCTGCACTGAAAACATTTCAAACAGAAAACATTTATGAAGCCACTTGCAGTTATTGATAATAGAGTGTATGCTTTGATTGCGCCTTTGATTCCCCCCCACACCCCCCCTTTCTTTCTCTGTAGTTAACAGCTTTAAGGATATTTCATTAAAATCTGGTGCCAAGCTGCACGGAAAGATGTAACTTCAGAGAGCCTGCAGGCAGTGTAATTACGAACACAGGGAAACCTGCTTCTCCGCGCCGGACACGCTCTGAAGACATGACAATCGTTGGGCAGGACTGCCCCAGATGCCTCCAGTGCCACCCACAAAAGCTGGCGTTGGAGACACCTTTTGGAAGAAGCTGCCGTTTATCTCTTCACAGAGTCTTCTGGTTTTCGTTAGTTTGCCCTTTAACTCTTCACGCGGTGCCCAGCTGCGCACCACAGATGGACCCATGAACCTAATGTTCTTCAATTTGTTAAGGAACATGGGACCAGGGATGGTACCACCAAGTGATGTGATGGAGGTGGCTCAGCTCT